GCCAAGAGCTTCAGCTGGTTTAAACTGAGAAAAGCTTGTTTGGTTTCAAGGGATCAACATCTGTTTACCCTATTGTCTCAGAGTATCAGTTCTGTCCTTTGGAAGACTTGGTGTCCTGGCCTTTGACACGTTTACTTGGAAGTAAGGTGAAATCAAACTACTCACCAGGAACTTTTGGCAGGGATGACTGAAGTCTCAAAGCCCTGAGACAGCACAAGGAATTACGACAAGTGTTTCTAGTTTCTAGTAATTGTTCATGGCACTGCCTTTGGAAACTTTAGCAGGTCCAAAATGCTGTGACCAGGCTGTTGTCTGGGGCTGGTTACAGGGAATATATACTTCCACTGTTGAAACAGCTTCAGTGGCTACCAGTCCATTTTTGGGCCGAATTCAAAGTGCCCAGACCTATGATTTTTAAAGCCCTACACAGCTTAGCTTTACACTATCTGAAAGACTGTACATGAGCCTGCTCCAGATTTAAGATCTTTGGGGAACACCTACCTGTTCATTTGGTCCCTGTCTCCTTTCCTTTTACTGGCAGGCTATGATATTTTATTCTTCTAATTCTGGGTTGAAAATCTATGTAACAGATAGTTTGTGGTATTTTTTTTCCCAAAAAATCATGATCAGTGTTGTAATCTTGTTTTTAATTGTACTGTAATTTAATTCTTTTTAAACTTTTGTATAAATAATCTTTGTTGTTTTAAATCAGGGGTAGGCAACCTAAGGCCTGGGGGCCGGATGCGGCCCCCTGAGGCCTTTGGACCGGCCCCAGGCCAGTCCTGCCGCCGCCACTGCCGCCGCCCCCCACCGCCTGCCATGATGATATTGATTATTGTTGTTATTACTTGTTATTGGGGTTTTCTTGCCAAAATCTCCACAGGGGTTTGCAATGGCTTTTCTGGGGCTGAGAGAGTGTGCATGCATATTTTTTAAAATTTTATTCATTTATTTATTTATTTTTGGTGCTTCGGCCCCCAATTGTCTGAGGGACAGCAACCCGGCCCCCAGCTCAAAAAGGTTGCCTACCCCTGTTTTCAATGCTATAGGCTGTGCTGGATCCTGCATAAGGTGAAAGGTGGAATATAAATCAAATAAATAAATAATAGACTTTCTCTACTATTGGAGCCAGTATGGCATAGTGGTTTTGAGTGTTGAACTCAGCTCTGGAGACCAGGGTTCAATTCCTTGCTCAGTTATGAAACCCATTGGTTGGCCTTAGGCAAGTGACACTTTCTCAGCCTCAGAGAAAGGCCATAGCAAACCTCCTCTGAACAAATCTTGCCAAGAAACCACCATGATGCAATTAGGATCTCTATATGTTGGAATTAACTTGAAGGCACACAACAACAACAAGACTATCCCTACTATTAGGCAAGATGAAAGTCAACTCAGGCAGCAGATTTGGGGTGTCATGAAAAGGCCAACAAAATGTTACTTATTTACTTATTATTGTTGTATTTTTACTGCCAGAGTTTATTTTATCAATTTCTAAAGAGGTCAGAGTAAAGCCTACCCAAATGTTGCATCCATTGCAATACCTAATGTGTGAGGCTTAGCCATGATTACTTAGGAGGTAAGAGAAAGGCAATCTACAACTATTTAGATATCATGCCACCTTTATTGACATTTTCTATGCTCCACATTGAGCTCTACATAGAAAGCAAGTTACAGGGTGCAGCCATAGCAATAAACTGAAGGTAAGAGATTGCAGGCTTGCCAACAGCAATGCAGTGAAGTCTGATCTACACATGACACTGAAATGAAAGAGCAGCATTCAGTGCTATGGAATCCTAGAATTTGTAGTTTGATGACATGGCACCAAAGCTCTGTGACAGAGAATTCTAAATGTCTCACCAAACTGCAATCCCAGGATTCCATAGCATTAAGCCATGGCAGTTAAAATGGTGTCAAACTACTGTACATTATTCCTGCAGTGCAAATGCAGCCACTATAAGCTGAAACAAACTAAACATATCCTAGTAGGTGAATGATGAGGATTCTAGCCCAAATTTTTATGAGATGTAATATTTTTATTTTCATTTGCAAGGAGTCTTTGCTGTTCACCCCCAGTTAATGCATTCAAAAATAGCATCCTCCACCTGCCGAATAGAAAGATGCAATCTCTTTTACTACCTCAGCATTCCCTGATCACATTCAACTATATAGGTTTAGGATGGGCCAAGTCCAAATATGAATTCTTGTAGCAGAGGTGGTACTTCACTCCTGAACTCCCAAATCTGCAGCAAATGGTTTGTTCACTGGAGTATGCTGGCTACTACCACTATTAATGCCCAGAGCATAGCTTTGAAAAATTACTGTTTGGAATTACAACTCTCAGAATCTCCCAGTCAGAGTGGCTGTGAGGGGATACTGGGAGTTGTAGTCCCCAAAGGTAACTTTTCCAATTTCTGATCCCATTGTATAAATCCTTTCAGGGTTAATCTTTCTTCTAGCTTATATCTGAAAATGAGTTTCAGATGTAGGAAATGAAATCCTTCCCCTTAAACATTAGATTTCCATCCAAAAGCTAAAGGATTCTTGCTTCAAACCCGTTTCTTTATATGAAAATGTCTCTTTCTATTAATTCCATTTGAAAATAGTTGAAAATATTTGAGTTAGCTAATGAAGACAGGTTTATAGATCTGGTTGCAATTCAATGCTTGCAATTTTTTCTCTCTTTAACATCCCTTTGCCATTACCTACTACAATACTGCACAGAATGGTGATCCTTTAGGACTCATGAAGGCTAAATGTTTTCAGAGTAGCAAATAGGAACAACATACTCACAAAAGACACAAATGGTAAACTGCTCTTGAAACTCAAGGGTTAATTCTACGACAATGATATAAAGCCAACTTATGTGTTATTCCCTTATAAAATCTGTCCAGCCCAGACTTTTTCACACAAACTGCTCCAAGAAATCATGCAAGGAGGAAGTTAACTTCAACGCATTCTTGGTGCTAGCTTCTGTTCTATTTAGCTCTTTCACATTCTCTACTTTGAAATCTTAGATTTTTCCTATACCTCAGTTAAAGAACAGCATTTCTTGCTCTTGAACAGGGCAAAGATTTGTCCCTCTGCTGCTCTGCTATTGCATGACCTTTTATATTATGGGGAATGGGCACAATTGCACTGAGTGTGTGGTTGGTTAATTTGGCCTTGTAATGTATTTGATTTCCTAATTCCAAGGTCCTCTTCTCCCTACCTTTGGGCACAGTGCAGCAAAATTATTTGGAATGTAGGGAGAGTCAAGGTGCAGTTTCACAAATTCAAATACTATTTAGAGAAATTAAGCCAGAGTTTGGGAAAGTTACATTTTTAAACCATAACTGCCAGAATACCTGAGCCAACACAAGGAGACAAGGTGATATAGTATCCCAACTCTTACCCAAAGGGTAAGCTTCAAGAAATAGTAATATTGGGTAATTCTAATTTTTAACATGCCATTGGTGCTGTGGATCAAGCAAGGCGCTATTCTGTTTCCTAATGAAACTACTGGATGTGGTCTTCTGTGGCTTTGGAGTAAGGTATTATCAGTATGCAAACATTCTGGATGGGATCACAGTCCCTCTAAAGGAGTAAGTGCACAGCTCAGGTATGCTTCTTGATCCAACACTGCTGGCAAAAGAAAGAAAGTAAAAAGAAGATGATGTTCGATCTTCTGCTCTGAACTTGAACCTGACGAATTACTAAAGTCCAAGTCTCCAATGGGATCTTTTATCCTATGTTTAAAGAGGTGGCTAGGGAATAGACTGATAGAAACAAAGCTTTCCAATGAACGTGTAATTTATTTGGGGATTCAAACATACAAAGACCCTCTAGCATTAACTCAT